TTAAAATATTATTCCAATCCGTCATTTTTAAAAAAATAAAATTAACATATATCGATCATAACTCTTTCTCCCGCAGGTTTTCTAGTATTTACAAATACATATCCATGATCATCTGGGTTTCTCCATTGAACTTTACAAACCTTTTTAAATGTATCTCTATCCATTCCGTGATTTATAGACTGAATGATTTGAGATAAATCTTTATCGTTTAATTCAAATAATAAAAAACAATTTGCATTTTTTCTAATGAACATAGAATCCATCCCGTAAAAAGATTGGGATTGGTATATGCAGTGACAGTTGTGATGTCTTCCTTTGGTGAAGAATTCTTGTTGAACAGTTTGATTTCTTTGCGCTACGCAGTCGTCAAACAATATTAAGTTCTTTCGATTGCTATCAATATTAGACAAGTCTAGATCATTAACATTTTTCGTAAGAAAAATCTTTTATATCCGTTGGATTGAAAGATGGATTCTTTGATTTAATGAAGTTTTCTATGATATCTTTTATTTCCACTTATTCTTCGTTTTCTTCGTAATATTGAAATATGTCTTGAACATCTTTCTTTGGTAAATATTCTAAAGCTTTGAGGAATTCATAATACGATTGCTCTGGTGTTGTTGTGTAGATATACAGAGAAACGAAATCTAAAAGGTTTGGTGTTGTCAACATGTTAAAAGTGAGATGAGTTTTCCCAGAACCTGAAATACCGCAAATACACATGAGCATTGGGTTACTAGGAAATATGTCCGAATGTTTGAATTTCTTGCCCATTTTTATTTATTACATTTTCGTACCAAAAATCACTCCGTTGCCTTTATACTTTGAAAGGAAGATTCCTTCGCAGGAACGTATGTTTTTAAAAAATATGGCGTTGCCCTTGTGTTTGACCTTCATTTCTCCGGTGTCGATTTTATCTATTAATTTGCTTAATCCCTCTTTAACGGTTTTCTTGGTTTCTTCGCCAAATCTTTGTCCGAATTCTTTAACCGTCCCTAATATATCTCCTACTCCCGAACCTCCTCGTGCTTCTCTTTCCATTGCCAAATTGTGTCTACGTGCTTCGGCGTTTGCAGCGGCTTCAGCTTTCTTATCGTTGACAGCTTTGGCTATCCCAGCAGCTCCACCAGCAGTTGCACCAGCTGCAGCTAAACCAGCAAAGATTAAAGGCAAGAAAGGTAAAAATCCACCTTTTTTAGTTAAATTCTCATCAATTCTTTCCAAGTCTATATCGTCTCTGACTTTGCAATGTTTGTATTTATCGATAATCTTTTGGGTTATATGCACTTTTTTACCGTTGTAAGTTATTAGAGTCGGCGAATTCGTTTCCATAGCTTCTATTATTTTCATAACTAAAGTTTCTGGTTTCATTTTTAAAGGGTGTTTTTTTATTCAATTCTTATCATTCTTCTATCTGATATTTTAATCAAATGTTTTGCTTCTTCCAGCAATAAACAGTAGCCGGACACATCTCCTTGTGTTTTATCGATGTGAATATTTATGTCTACCCCTGTTTTGAAAAGATCTTCTTGATGAGCTGACGGATCGAAACAAAAGATTGGATGATTGAGTGAAAAATCTGTGTATTCAAACTGAGGTGTATTTCCAAACAATTCGCACATGTTTTTATAGTTTCTGTACAATTCGTTGTAATCTTTTTTGGAAGGATCAATTGTCAAAGGTTGATTGGGATAATTATCGTTGTTCAATCTGACTTGAACTTTGCGAATGATGGGATCTTGAGTATGGTTCAATGCCACTCTGAAAATGTTGTTGTTGTTTGTCTGAGAGTCTGGCAAGTTTTTGAAACCGACCATTAGATATCTAGCCGGTTTGACGGTGTTGGTGATTGGCCACGTGGTAGATTCTCCCGTTAAAGTCATGCTACCTACCGTGTTACGACGAAGAAAAGCAATTTCGATGTCTTTGGTTAAAGAGTTGAATATTCTCGTTTCCACTTCTATGGAAGGAGTGATTACCGGTATGTAAAGTTGGATATTCGTTATTTCCAATTTTGCGTCAGAGTTGTTTTCACCAAAGAATATCTTGTTGTCGTTGATTTCTCTTTGCAAATGAATTTTATACGGTAAACCTATGGAAACCTTTCTGTGTTCCAAGAGACCAAATAAAGGATACAACTTCCAATTTACGTAATTACCCCATCTGTTGTTCTCGACGACATTGTTGTATTGAAGCGCTCGTTTTTCAAATCCGTGATTTACTCCGCGAGTCACTCTTTCCAGTGTGTTTCTAGCAACTACCCTTATCCTAGCAAGGTCTGCGTCATTTGCTACAGTTCTGACCGGTTCTTTTAAAACTTCTCCGTCACCGACATCGGGTATCCATCCCGAAACTGAATCGTAGTTTTTGGGATACAGAACCGTTTTCAACATTGTGTCAAACTCGCCGGGGTGTTTTATGGTCTCTATCGGATTTGAACCAGCTTCCAAAACCATTTCGCTGAATAAAGACGGAAAGAAGTTGTTTTTTTCTAAAGTCGTGTTGGTTTGTGGAATTCGATTCTGAGTGGCGTCTTTGATTTTGAAATCGCATCGGAAATGGGCATCGGAAAGCAGCAACCAATTGGACAACGAATTAATTTTAAAGGTAACTCTTCCTTCGTCGTTTATTTGGGTCTTTGTCCCTACCGATGGTGAGATGATTACGTAATCCTCTTTCTTTTTGTTGAACGAATATTGAATTGGATCATACAATTGAAAGATTGGATCCAATCTGTAATTTTTGCTTGCCATTTTTATCCAATGATTTTAAACCCTTTTTCCTTGTTTTTCTAGGGCTTGTCGTTCTAGTCTCTTGTTTCTTAGTTCTCTTATTAGCTGCAGTTCTTTAAGTTCGTCAGATTTTTTCACTGCATCGCTTATATTTACTCCTGCTTTTGCCACAGATCCAAGAGCTTGTGCTTCTGAGGAAATGAGGGATTTGTTGTTTGAGACAAAATTGGCCACGTTCGGGATGAGAGATGTTAGCGCAGAGAAGAAACCGTCTCCTTCGAATTTTTTTTTTTCGTGTTTTAAAATTAAAGACATTTTTAATGCGGTTATTTTATACTGTATTATTATTAGTGATTCTTGTCTGTGGTTTGGGTAATTTATATGGAATCTGTTATAATACAGTTTGGGGGGAGTCTGTTATAATACATTTTTAACAGTTTGGGAAGTCTGTTATAATACATTTTTAACAGTTGTGTCTTTTCGGATATGACGCATTGAAAAAGCTGCGCATGCGCAGAAGTGAAATGCGTCATATCCGGAAAGACATATGCCTACCATCTTAAAAACCGGATCAAACTGGATGCGCTATATCAGAAAACTCATATACTACTCAAATAACGGTGCTGTTAAACCATACATTCCCGGCGTACATAGAAATATCAATCCAACATAAAAAAGAACCTAATTCAAACTGTAAAAAGAAAAGATTATCTTCTGTTATCATTATTAGATCTAATTTTGATACGTGATATGTTATCTGTCTTAGAGAGCTGTATAACATTAAAATTTAATAAACCTTACTTTATCAAGATGAGAGGCTAAGGTTGGATCCATAAAACCTAGAGAGTATGAAGCACTAAAAATTGCTAATCCAGTGACGACAACCAAAGGACTTCTTAGTAATGATAAAACTGATGCTTTGAATGGCAACTTGGATTCTGAAACATATGTAAATCATAAAATCATCAAAACGAAATAAGGTTATTTCTTCTATAATGGCCAGTTTAAAGGACTGATTTATGCACTAATTTCTTTCAGATGATAGAACGATGACTTCCACTTTCAGAATTTGATCTGAACCAATCACATTTACCTTTCGGCGAAGGCATTAAGAACAAAGACACAGTACTACAGGTAATCAAGATACTGCCAAGTACTCAAAATGGTAAACCATATCCACCGAGCTAAAACATGAGTGGCAGAACTTAGATAAATCTTGATAATGTGACGAATTCTCTTATTATAGCATAATGATGTTACTCGCACCATATTGTTAGTAAATCACATAAGTAGCTTTTCGTGAACTTAAAATGTTATAATTCATTTAGAAAGTCTTGAACAATAAAGGTATACATTCAAATAATTTTTGCTTATTTCTACATATAAGGAGCGATACCAAAATGTTTCTTGGGTTTAATATCCCTTCACAATATCATAAATTACATTATGATTCATAATACAAGAGATAGAAATCTATAGTAGTATATGCGCTTTCTGTATTTCGCACTTTCCCAATTCCATTTCATTCCATGGGAAAAAGTGCGAACATACAGAAAGCTCCCCAAAAAAGACCTCCATACACTACATTCCATCAATTCACACCTCAAAAAGACCTATACACCCTACATTTCATTATTAACTCATTTAAAAATTGGATGAGTTTAATTTTAAAACACAAACAACACAAATTCGAAGAGAACTACGAAACAGGAAATTAGAAGAAAGAAAGGAAAAGGTTTTAAAATTATAGGATAAAAATGATAATCGCACACACTCCAAAACCTTATTTTGGTTCAGATATACAAAAATCATTGGGCTCTCTTCCCGGTTTTCCATGCGCAAAATATTCTGGAGAAAAACATCTTCCGGGTCATAATTACACTGGTCCAGGTACTAGGTTAGATCTGCGATTAGACGAAAACGATAAACCCAAACCAGGGGAAGAACCAGTCAAATGAGTTGATACTTTAACATGATATTTTATACAGAAATAAAGACATAAAGTTTAGACACGAAGCAGACAAACAAAAGATAATCGAACGTAATCCAAATCCAACTTTCAAAGAGAGAATGCAAAGGGCTCTGATCATAAAACTGTTAAAAGCAAAGATGAAATTAGGTATGGGATTGGCAGATGAAATTCATAAAGAATTTAGAAAAACTAAAAACTTTTTAAAAGTTAAAGTATTTGAAAAAGATGAAATATGGTCAGCTGATGCCAATCGAAAGAGGATTTAAATATTGTTTAACAGTTATAGATTTGTATACAAGATATGCATGGGTTTTTCCTTTGAAAAACACAACAAGATTATCAGTCAAACATGCTTTTGAAACGATTATGAAATAAGCTGATAGACGACCCCAAAAGTTATGGGTAGATAACGGAAGCGAATTTTATAATAAAAATATGAAATCACTTGGGTTTGAAATTGACAATACTCATATCAGCAGATAGCCAAGGTCAATGACCTTTGATCTTGTAAAGGAGAAGGTCTAAAAAGGGCAAGATCAAGAGATATATGTCATCAAAATTTCTAATTGTACACGACTATAAAACCGGAAGTTGACATAGGACGGCAAATATAAAAGTATAAATAGATAGCAAATGCCAATGACGTTTGATCCTACAAATTTCAAGGTCAAAAAAGGTCAAGGTCAAAAATTGAAAATTTTGAATTTCCAAAACCTGTTCCTTTTTTTGAACTATGAAGCGGAAACAACCGAACTTCTAAGACATAGTGGCTCAATTCAGGAGATAATTGTATGCAAAGTTCCATTTTGAACAAACGTATACTTTGCGGGTTATGCTCCTGGCCAAAAATATCAATAATGAGTAATATATCCCGGATGTGCCACGCCCACCTTAATTTTTTTTGCATAAGGTAATTGATATTCCAAATGTTATGTTGTGTTTCAAATTTCAAGCTTCTACATTATTCAAGTCAAATGATATAGGTCAACGAATGTCAACAAAGGTCAAAATCGAAAAATGAAAATATCCAAATGTTAAAACCCGTTCCTTTTTTGGAACTATAAAGCTGAAACAATTGAACTGTTAACACAAACTGGCCAAAAGGATGAGGTAATTGTGTGCAAAGTCCCTTTTTCTACAAAGTAGAAACGAGAATATTCAACTCGTTAACTAAAGATATTGAAATAGCTTTTCTTCATCGTAACACGGTAGGTAGTATGACTTTAACGGGAGAATCCACCACGTGGCCAATCACTAACACTATTAAACCAGCCAGATGTTTAATGGTTGGTTTCAAGAATTTACCAGATTCTCAAACGAATAACAATAATGTCTTTAGAGTGGCAATGAACCAAACTCAAAATCCTTTTATCCATAAAGTTCAAGTAAGATTAAACAACGATAATTATCCTAACCAACCTTTAACAATTAATCCAACCACAAAGGATTATAATGAATTGTATAGAAACTATAAAAATATGTGTGAATTATTTGGAAATGTACCTCAGTTTGAATATGTAGATTTTCCACTTAATCATCCAATCTTCTGTTTTGTTCTATCAGCTCACCAAGAAGATCTTTTCAAAACAGGAGTCAACATAAATATTCATATTGAAAAAACACAAGGAGATGTAACAGGTTATTGTTTATTATTGGAAGAAGCAAAACATTTAATTAAAATAGCAGACAGAAGAATGATAAGAATTGAGTAAAAAATACACCTTAAAAATTCAATCATTCAAATGGGAGGGATTTTAAGATTGCCAAACGCAAGGATTTAGAACAATACTTAAAATTTCTGAATATGATAAGGACTAACTCAAAACAAAAAGATTGGAAGAAGTTGATGAACATATAAAAAAACTTATTGCTCGTGAATATGAAGTTGATGAAGCAGATGATGAAGTTGATGATGAAGATGATGATGAATATGAGGAATCAGATGATGAAGATGAGGAATCAGATGATGAAGATGAGGAATCAGATGATTATGAAGAAAATTATCCACCAATCACAGAACAAATAGACGAATTGGAAGAGGAGATAGCTAGTGGACAAGGTATAACGTTTTTATCCGACAACAACGAAGAATTGCTTAATAGATTACGAGTAATATTAGCGGCAATGAAGGAAGGACATCGATCACACAGACAATATAATGAAGTGAATTGTATATTAAAAAGACTCCTAGAAAAAGGTATCATAGATAAAAATGATTATAAAAGCGTGATTAAAAATGTCAAATAAAGAAGAACTATTTGTCATCACCTCAAATAAATCAGACATTAAATTATCTCTAGATTATGAGTACGAACTCGATCGCAATCAAGAATATGAATTGGGATTAAAGTATTTCTCTGTTTACAATTCCATTAGAAATATCAACGAAAAAAATAACCAAATAAAAATATCAACAGATAATGTAGTTACGTTCAAAACCATAAGTTTACTACCAGGAAGCTACGAATACATAGCCATTAACGAATATCTATCTGAATATGGAGGAAGTGTTAATGGTAAAAACAATTCGAAGGTAATTTGAATCTGAACAAAATATAATTGATATTAAGAAATAATAGTCAAGTTGATTTCAACGTAGAAAATTCATTGAATACGTTACTAGGATTTGATAAACGAGTATACACCCAATCCATTTTAGCACCACACAAAGCTAATATCGAGAATGATATCGATGTGATAAATATACATTGCAATTTAATAAACGGTGGATTTTTCAATAAATACAAACGTCAGATTATTTACAGTCTTCCAACATTCACCGTACCGATTGGATATAGAATTATAGAGAAACCATTTCAAACGACGTATTTGCCACTTAATTCCTTTATGATTAAAGATGGTAAAAATAGGTTTATAGATTTTGGTAACGAGGAATCTGTTATTCAACTTCATTTAAAACAAAAAAATTAACACTCTTCATTCTCTTCTTGAATAGTTAGATAATCGAAATCATCAAATTCATAGTTTTCATCTATGTTCAATTCTTTTCCGTCGTTGTAAGGATACATGATTCCTTCACTGTTTGGTGCTTTCCTCTTAACGAGATTTAGATAACTTCTAAAAACTTTCTTTTGTTTATCATCATCCTTTGGAATAACTACTCCATTGGTGAAACTTTTTACTCAAGGTTTCTTAAATTCATTCGTTACATCGAGTCCACTAGCTAATCGAATATAATCTGCTACTGATATCTTATCTTTAGAGTAACCCTTAAACGTTTTCTTTTCTTTTAAAACACCATCGGAAGTTAGAATAATATTGTATTTAACTTTTGGCGCTAAATATAAACCAAATATAATTCCACCATCACCGTAATCATTCTTTCCTTTACAATAATCATTTTCAGATACCAACCCAGCTTCATTTAATTTATCCCAATTGCTAGACAAAATGTATAAACTATCCGTATCCGTATAGTATATTTCAGGCTTATAAAATCCATCTATCACGCGAATAAAATTATTCATTATTTTTTTACTGTGAGATAAAACGAATGATCTCAAATGACAGTTGTTAGTCGTGTAGATTTAGGAGGAATAAATTCTTTTTCTTCTTCATTCATCTCAACTATATATTGACTATCATTTACTTTTTCATAGCTTTTGACGTGTGAATCGAAGTTGGCTTTTAAAGTCGCTTCACTCCATAGATGTCTCGATGTATTTATATCCTTCTGAATAGATTTACCATACAACGAATTGCCTAATAATTTCATGCAATTACTACCCACGATATTACCTTCTCGTTTATATTTATTTCTTAGATCTCTCAAAATTAAAATATAATCTCTATAGGGTGGAGTTTTAAAATTTTCTTCGTAAACTATACCATCTAATATTCTAATAATTCGTCCACCGGCTTTCACTATTTCTTGAATATCGACCGATGTTAAAACGTCGTGACAGAAACCATTTCTGGGAAGAACATGTTTTTGGGATATTCAAACCAGACTTTTAAAATAGCAGTTCTAGGTCTGAATTTCTGTTCATTAAAGAGCTTGACAAATTCTTTATTTTCTTCCGGTAGAAATGGTCTACCACTTTCCGCTCTCGGATATTCGCTATCTAAATCCGACATGGCGGAAGCGTACAAATCGTTAGCATCAAATGCCATTAGTTTAATACATTTTATTTTTTTAAGTCTCGAATGAACCTCCGTTTCATCTTCCGTGCTAGCGCTATATTCTTTGAATAAATCAATTATATTATTACTTGCTGTTTCTGTGTATTCACTTAATATATTACAAATTTCATCCATTTTATTCGTTTCAAATGATTTTCGATTTGCCGAAACTCTTCCTCCTTTAATACTTTGTCTGATAAAATATCTTATAAAAGGGTGAGTATGTGAGTAAACTTTTTCTACGTTTTCTTTTTCGGTGTGTTTCGGGACCATTCTAGTAGTTTCATATCATTCTTCTTCAATCGTTTCTTTATCGTAATGATATAAATAATACCAACCCTTTAAAGATAAAAAAAGGAGCTGTTAGATTATTGGAAATATTCTGAAATACAACTTCTTTCATTGCTTGATTGTATTTTATCAAACAAGCTCCGAGACATAACGTATCTCTTTTAAGGTTCCCATTCATGTCTTAAAGATTCCCAATTATCTTTAGTGTATTTTGCAATATTAACATCCTCGATCTTTCTCAAATTCATCGGTAGATTATACGAATTTCCCCATGCTGCCAAACTAGATGATTCGTGTTGAATGTGAAATTAATATTTTGCAAATAATTAGAGTTACCCTTTATTTCTTTCTGTCTTTTCAATTTTTTCTATAAATCTTCATCGGACAATGAATTAGTTAAAGGTAGAGACAGAATTCCTCTGGGCGTTTTTAAAGGGCATTGTGTTAGTTTTTTTACGTTTTTGATCATGATCCAGTTATCAAAACCGCTAGCGTTATGAGCAATTAATGTTATTCTTTTTTGATCTATTTTTCCTAAACGTTGTAACATTTGATCGATACAATCTATACCTACAAATATTTCTACTATATTAGTCATGAGTTTGTTGTAAAATTCTTCTGGAATGGGAACTGTCGGCTTTAAATCTGGAAAGAGATTATTTATTCTGTTTAACGTTTTTCTTAGTTTTTCTAAATTAATTAACGTGCAAGAATAAGGTATGACTTTATTTTCGTTATAGGTTTCGCAATCCCATGCGTATAAACAATCATCGGGAATGGTTGGAAAAACGTTTAGTTTCAGAGGTGAAACTTGCGTTACAGCCTTATCATCTTTACAAGTTCTCCATACATTTTCATCGTAATTATCTTCTATTTCTTTAATGCCAAAGGTTTTGTTATTTCTTCTAATGAGACAGAAATGTTCTTTGTGTAAGTAAAATACCCAATTTAATTCTTCGGATACTTTCTTTGGTTGAAAATGTCTATGTTTTGGCATATAAATTTGAAAATAAGTATTGAATTTCTTATTGAATTCGCAGATCCTAGCAGATGTCATAACTCATTTTCTGTTTGATTTTGAAAAACTGTTGATGAAATCTTGAAAATCTCTCCTGTAGTCTTCCTTTAAAACACGATTAACACACTTTACAAAGCAGTATCCATCGTTCAGTATATAACAATTTATACCGATATATTCATTTATCTTTTTGAGTAGGGTAACACCACTACCCTTTTTTGATCTTTTTATTTCTTTGAAATTGTTTTTACGAAAAATTATAATTCCTGTGAAATACCAATCAGAAGCATCCGATTTTATATCCACTGTTGCGAAGAAATTGCGAAAAGTTTTGGCATTAAAACCTACAAATTGCATGCCTTGTTTCTATCCCCCATCTTGAGTTATCTCTCCATTTATTACAATTTGCCCTTTAAATGTTGTAAATTCATCAGAGATAAGCTTAATGACATCATAAAGTTTATTTGATATGAATGTTTCATCGTCTAAAATTTCAATTTTATTCATATTTTTAAAGCAACTATTTTTAACTAGGAATTTTTATTTGTTATTTTTTATTGATGATATTTCTACATCAAATTTATCTAAAATTTCATTGAATTTTTCTAATTCTTCAACTGTTATGTTCTTGTCTTCTCTCGATCTTTCGAAAAATATAAACAATTTATTAAGATATGTATTTAAAATTTCTGTTTTCCTTTTATAATGAGCTTTCTGTTTTGATATAAAACCTAAAGTAATCAATCCACAAGATGAAGTTTGAACGGCAGTGAACGCGGCTAATACAGTTGGGACAATTATTGGAAGCATTAATCCACCGGTTACGGCTGTTGCTACCGTTATCCCTACTGTTAAAACTGTACTTAATGTTTTGAAAACAGAATCGATTCTACTCCATGTTTTTCTACATTTGTTGAATTGTTTTAGTTTTTCTTTTAGTTCGTTTTGTTTTTCTGTCATGTATTGTTTTAGGTAATTAAATTAAGTGAACTTCTGATAAAGCTGGTAGGTGTTTATTACTAACAACTTTTACAGTTACTAACGATATTTGTTCTTTCGAATCATTAATCTTATTCAGATGAACTGAAAATTTTGGTTTTTTAATAAAGATTGATATATTAACATATGCATCATCTCTTATTAAAAAATTTTGTTTTTGTTGACTTTTATGAATATCAATTGAGGTAAATATATATCATTATCAACAAAATATAGTTTTACGTATTCAAAGTCTGTCGTTCGTAAAAAGTCATAATTGTTATATGGATCTGAGTCTGATATTCATTGATGGTGAAGTTTTCGACTGTAATATCATATCAAAATCACTCAATGAAAGTTCATCTTCTTTATTATCTGGAATGATTAACATTCTACACCTATCTATATATTTTCCACTCGTTTTAATTTCATATAAGTGATTAACCTTGTTGTTTTCGTCGTTACTTTCATATTCTTTAATTTCTACATTGTCTCTACCATTGATAAACTTAAGAACTTTTTGAGCGTTGAATTTATAATGAATTTTATGGTTTTGTCTGAAGAATATTGAATCAACTTTTACCTGGATGGGAAAATTAATTTCAATTACAAGTTTTCCTTTAAAAGTAAAATCTGATGGATAATCACTATTAAATATATAATGGGGGTTAAAAAAATTTGAAGTAGAAAATACTCTTATATTTACTTTAAATCCATATTTTTTATATTCATAGTCTTTTGATCTATCAATATCATTAATAACGCCTTGTCTCAAATTTCCAAATGGAAAATTGAAATAATATGATTCTTTCTTGAGAAACTTTTTTTCTAATGCGACTATATTTTTGTCCTGTTTTAATACTAGGTTATTAATAGTGGTTATCTGTTGTTGAATAACACTATCATCAATGTTCTGTATTTGTTGATGAATATAGGTTTTGATTTCGCTATCATCTTTGTTTTGTATTTGTTGTTGAATATAGGTTTTGATTTCGCTATCATCTATGTTTTGTATTTGTTTTTTAATATTTGTTAGTTCTTTTTGTAATTCACTGTTAAGTTTAGTTTCCAGAGCATTTAATTCCTGTTGAAACGTATCTTCATTTTCATCTGGAATGTTATCTATCAATTGTTGAATGTCTAATTTTTGTTTTGCAATCTTATCCTCTAATTCAGATATTAATGAAATTAGATTTTGTACCTCAGTTTTATTTGCTACGTTGACCAATTCTTTTTGAATAAAACTTATTAATCTTTGTACCTCTTGTTGTAGTTTAGTATCATTAACAAAATTTTTATTATTTAGTTGACGTTTGAAGAATCTTTTCACATTACTTATTTTATCTTCTAAATGGTTTTTATTTACTTCAATTGAATTTATTTGATCCCGTAAATATTTCTTGTGAATGGCATCATTATCGTTTTCCGGAGACTTTAAATTAGTTATGCTAAAATTGTTCATATCTAAATCACCTTGAAGAGTGTCTCCGATTTGATCCACAAAGAAAGGTTTCGCTTTATTTATCCACGCTGTAGTGTTAGGTTTTTTTAGTTTCTAAAGATAAAGAACCTAATCCAAACTCATTCGCCATTTTTATTTATTACAATTTCTTCGAACTGTTTTCCTAAACTCAACTGATATAAGACCCAAAGTTAAAGCTGACCACAAAACTTTTGTCCCGGTAATTGAATTTGAAATGTTGAACATTTGATTGGTTTATTAGTCAATTGCATTATCTCTTCAGTGGGTTCTAATCCATAAGAATCGAAGAAATATAAGTTAGAGTCTTTGTACAAAGCAGAATGATGAACTCCTTTTTGATCGGAAGTATGTATATTTGTTATAGCGTAAAATTTACCTTTCTTATATTTCAGATCATTTATTTCATCTCTCATACAATAATAAGACGGTGATATATTTAACTCATTCGCTCATCTGATAAGTTGAAAGTTTGTGGTTGTATCGGTTCCATATCGAGAAATTCATTCATTTTTAAAAGTCGTTTTTTTTAAATATATACGTAGTTTGTGTTTGAAAAAAATTGTATTACATTCTGATAAAACACATTCAATAATATTTTGAACATAAATTTAAAATTAAGAAAACGAAAATGCTTGTCTACATCTCTTAATCTTCTATCAAATTCATTCATTTTTAAAAGTCGGTTTGTTGAAGTTCATTTTGATAAAACCTTCCTATGATTTGTTCTATGTCTTGATCGATTAATTCATATGTCGGAGGTGATGTGGTGTTTACTTTATCAACGATGAATATTTCGTTCGTCCAGTATCCAACGTAACCTTTTTCGAATTTGCTTTTATATTTGAAAATACGAACTCGATCTCCGACTTTAAATTTATTTCATTTTTGTAGTTATGTTGCGCGTTAATTGACTTTATAATATTTGGATTACTCGAGGCTTGTGTTGGTGTGACACCTATAGCATCTACAACCTCTGGTAATATTTTAAGCCATTTTTGAGATTTCAATTCCGTGAACTTTTTGAATAATTTATTTTTTAGAGTCCTGTTAAATCTTTCTATTACTACAGCTTTACCTTCGTTATGCGTACTGTAACTTTCAAACCCAAGTGATTTCATTTTTTCTTTATAACATTCACTTCCTTTATCTACCCACAGTTTTTCTGGATGTCGGTTAGATTGCTTCATAATCGTTTCAAATGCGTGTTTGACTGATAATCCCGTTTTGTTTTTCAAAGGAATAACTCATACATACCTCATATACAAATCTATAACTGTTAAGCAATATTTAAATCCTCTTTCGACTGGCATATGAATTAAATCGGCTGACCATATTTCATCTTTTTCAAACACTTTTACTTTTAAAAAGTTTTTAGTTTTTCTAAATTCTTTGTGAATTTCATCCGCTAATCCCATGCCCAATTTCATCTTTGCTTTTAACAGTTTAATGATTAATGCTCTTTGCATTCTCTCTTTGAAAGTTGGATTTGGAATATTTTCAAGTTCGATTATCATTTGCCTGTCTGCTTCGTGTCTGAAGTTTATGTCTTTGTTTCTGTATAGTATGTCGTGTTTAAGCGCAGCGGCGTCAACTCTATTGACTGGTTCTTCGCCTGGTTTGGGTTTACCGTTTTCGTCTAATCGCAGATCTAACCTAGTACCTGGACCGGTGTAATTATGACCGGGAAGATCTTTTCACCGGGATATTTCGCCCATGGAAATCCAGGAAGAGAACCCAATGATTTTTGTATATCTCCTGAACCAAAATAAGTTTTTGGAGCGTGAGCGACTATCATTTTTATCCTATAACTTTAAAACCTTTTCCTTTCCTTTCTTCTAATCTCCTGTTTCGCAGATCTCTTATTAGCTCTAATTCTTTCAACTCGTTAGATTGTTTCACTGTGTCGCTTATACTCTTTCCCGCTTCCGCGATTGAGCCGATGACTTTCGCTCCGGTTGAAATGAGTGATTTGTTTTTTGAAACAAAACTAGCTACTTTTGGAATTATTGTTTTACCTAGAGAAAATAATGAAGAAAAGAAACCGTCGCCCGAATAATCTTCGAATCTGTGTTGTTCGTGTTTTAGAATTAAACTCATCCTATTTTTAAATGAATTAATTTAGTCTGTTTTTTTATCCAAAAAAGAGTTATCTCCCTTTTCTAGACTAAAAATAACACTACTTAAAACGAGGCTATTAAAAACCGGATGTTAAGCGAAACAAGGATGTTATTTTATATAAGGGTATTTTTAATATGCTTTTTTTGATGGAATGTAGGAAATTGATTGAAGGTGTTTTTTGGTGTAAGAATTTTATGAAATGTAGGGAATTTAGGTCTTTTTTAAGTGTAAGAATTTATGAAATGTAGGATGTTTTGCTGTAAGAATTTATGAAATGTAGAGAATTTAGGTCTTGTTTTTTGGGAGTTTAATGATGAGCTCATAGATTGGTCGCATTTTTCCACATTCCATTTCATTTCATGGGAAAAATGCAACCAATCTATGAGCTCATATACTACTAAGAAGAATATCATTTTCTTGAATTGAATAAATTTGATATGATATTGGAGACGGAAAGTCCACTTTGAATATGTAAAACTATATTTTGTTAATACTGATTAATTTACCTCAATTGATATTCATAAAAGTCAACAAGATTAAAAATTTATAATATTTTCATCAATAATTGAAAGTGTAAAAGGTGGTGGTATTTATACTTTTATATGTATGATAAAAATCAATATGAAAAAAACCAAAATTTACAGTTCATCTGAATAAGATTAAAGATTCGAAAGAAGAATTATCTCTAGTACTGTAGAATTTACTATCCTATATCTATAGTAATTTATCCTGGCTCAGTGCTTGAGATAGATGCTTTACATCAAAATTATCCATCTTTTGCTTTATCAGAAGTTCACTTAATCTAATTACCTAAAAATGGAACTGTTCGAAAGCAGTAGACAACAATACATGATAGAAAAACAAAATGAACTAAAAGAAAAAGTAAAACACTTAAACAAAGGCAGAAAAACATAGAGTAGAATTGATTCTGTTTTCAAAACATTAAGCACAATTCTAACAGTAGGAAAAACAGTGGCAACAGCCGCAACTGGTGGATTAATGCTTCCAATAAATGTCCCAACAGTATTAGCCACCTTCACTGCCGTTCAAACTTCATCTTGTGGATTGATAACATTAGGTTATACATCAAAACAGAAACCCCATTATAAAAAGAAAACAAAAATACAATATCTTAATAAATTATTTAAATTTTTCGAAAGATCGAGAGAAGACAAGAACATAACAGTTGAAGAATTGGAAGAATTCAATAAAATTTTTAGATGAATTTGATGTAGAAATATCATCAATAAAAGTGAAAAATTCCTAGTTAAAAAATAGATACTTAAAAATATGAATAAAATTGAAATTTAAGACGATGAAACATTCATATCAAATGTGCTATTTTCCAATGTTATTAAGGCTATCTCTGATAAATTTATAACATTTAAAGGACAAATTGAATTAGATGGAAAGGTAATTCTTGATGGAGAACACAAGCAAAACATGCAATTTGTAGGCTTTAATGCCACTACTTATCACAATTTGCTTCTGTTTGTTTTTTTTACAGGAAAAATAATTTTACGAAAAGACAATTTCAAAGAAATAAAAAGATCAAAAGTGGGTAGTGGTACCATCCTTCTCAAAAAGATAAATAAATATGCTGGTATAAATTGTTACATACCAAGCGATGGACACTGCTTTATAAAGTGCGTAAATCGTGTTTTGAACAAAGACTACACAAAAGAATTTTAAGATTTCATGAACAGTTTTCAGAAATCAAACAGAAAAGGAGTTATGACAACTGCTAGAATTTGCGAATTCAATAAGAAATTTAATACTTATTTTCAAATTTATATGCCCCAAAATAGACATTTTCAACCAAAGAAAGTATCCGAGAAATTAGATTGGGTATTTTACTTACATAAATCACATTTCTGTCTCATAAGAAGAAATAACAAAACCTTAGGCATTAAAGAAACTACGAAGAAAATTTATGGAGAGCTTGTAGAGATGATAATGCAGAATGTGACTGTACACACCCTAAATATACACGACTAACACTTAGTCATTTGGGGTCATTCGTTTTATCTCACAGTAAAAAAATAATTAATAATTTTATTCATGTAATAGATGGATTTTATAAGCCGGAAATATACTATACAGATACTGATAGTTTTTACATTTCATCTAGCAATTGGGATAAATTAAATGAAGCTGGGTTGGTATCTGATGTGATAATGCTTATTGTAAAGGAAAGAATGATTACGGAGATGGTGGAATTATATATGGTTTATATTTAGCGCATAAAGTCAAATCTAATATCATTCTAACTTCTGATGGTAATCTAAAAGAAAAGAAAACGTTTAAGGGTTACTCTAATGATAAGATAGGTGTAGAAGATTGTATTCAATTAGATAGCGGACATGATGTGACGAATGAATTTAAGAAAAGATGGGATAAGAGTTTCACCAATGGAACAGTTATTCCAAAGGATGATGATAAACAGAGAAAGTTTTTAAAAGTTATCTGAATCGAAGGAATCGTGTATCCTTATAGTGATAAAGATGATTTCAGTTTGGATGAAAACTATGAATTTGATGATTTCGATTACCTTACTATTGAAGAAGAGAATGAAGAGTGTTTAATTACTCAATAAATTTTTTTTTTGTTAATGAAGATGAATTACAATTTCCTCGTTACCAAAATCAATAAACCTATTTTTACCATCTTTGATTTCCAGATTTATATCTTTAATCATAAAGGAATTAAGTGGTAAATACGTCGTTTGAAATGGTTTCTCTATAATTCTATATCCAATCGGTACGGTGAATGTTTTTACCATTTGCACTTCCTCCATATTCAGATAGATATTCGTTAATGGCTATGTATTCATAGCTTCCTGGTAGTAAACTTATGGTTTTGAATGCAACTCCATTATCTGTTGATATTTCTATTTGGTTATTATTTTCGTTGATATTTCTAATGGAATTGTAAACAGAGAAATACTTTAATCCCAATCTAGAGATAATTTAATGTCTGATTTATTCGAGGTGATGACGAATAGTTGTTCTTTATTTGACATTTTTAATCACGTTTTTATAATCATTTTTATCTATAATACCTTTCTCTACGAGTCTTTTTAATATACAATTTACTTCATCATATTGTCTGTGTGATCGATGGCCTTCTTTCATTGCCGCAAATATTATTTGTAATCTATTAAATAATTCCTCGTAGTAAAAATATTACACCTTCTCTTGTATGTCCTAGAAAGTCATCTATTTTCTCTATAATGTCATCGCTGTAATCGACATCATTGTAGCTGTCATCACTGTAATTGGGATCAACATAGTCGACATCACTGCTGTCGTCATCAAACTCTAATTCTAATTCTTCTTCCTTGTTTTTTAATCTTGAAGTTTTTCCACCTCTTCTAATCGATTCAAGAATTTGTACGTATGACTTTAAATCACTAAAACTATAATCTTCGTCATCATGTCCATTGGTAAGATTAAACATACCAATTAATTATATATACCTTCTTTTGTGTCAATGTTAGGTTGTCTTTATTGAAATGAACCAGATGGATTGAAAGATGGATTCTTTGCTTTTATGAAGTTCTCTATGATATCTTTTATTTCCACTTCTTCTTCGTTGTCTTCATAATATTGAAATATTCTAAAGCTTTAAGGAATTGATAATATGATTGCTCTAGTGATGTTGTGTATATATATATTGTAATCTAGTAACTAGATGTAATTGATAAATCCCTAGAACACAATACCACATTGTCTAGTGACACTAATGGTCACTCTAACCTGCCACATCGGTCAGCCTAAGGCAATAGGATTAGTTCCTATTGTACAGCCTATCCTCTTTTACTGATTACGCAACTTGGACACAATGGTCATTTATCAATGGTACAAGCCAACAAAGGCCCCTGTATCTTCTGAGTGTTGATAAGGGATTATTGCCTTTTGTTTGGGTAAAGAGGGGACGGTTGGACACGTCTTTTGTCGGTAGGTGACAAAGGAGGGCTGGGTATAAAGGGGGTTAGGAATTCAGCATTCAGGGGGCCTAGGAAGGGGACAGACGAGCCAGTAGTCGATTATACATCCAGTATTTGTGAACCTTTATAGTATAGGTTCCAGAGGAAATACTCCAAGTAACTATTGTGTTCTAGGGAATCAGATTGACATTACTTTTGTTCATACCTTTATCCAGTGTTACAACCTATATTAAAGTGCATATTGTGGAAGTGTTAAGTCTATATTCCTACGTCCTAAGATAAAGGCGGAGAGCATCGGGAAAGGATCTCTCCTAGCAAGAAACATCAGAAACTCCATTACAATATAAAGAACCGAAATCTAAAAAGTTTGCTTTTGTCAACCTGAACTACCGCATATACACATAAGCATTGGGTTATTAGGAAATATTTTTGAATGTTTAAATTTCTTTCCCATTTTTTATCGATTTATTATTTCTATATTTTTGTTCCAAAAATCACTCCTTCTCCTTTATACTTTGAACGAAATTATCCTTCTCCAGTGTATATATTTTTAAAAACTATAGCATTACCCTTATGTTTGACTTTGACTTCTCCTGTGTCAATACTATCTACTAATTCATTTAATCCTTGTTTAACAGTTTTCTTGGTTTCTTCCCCAAATCGTTTTCCAAATTCTTTAACTGTACCTAATATATCTGCTACTCCTGAACCTAACCTTTCTTTTCCAT